GTTATGAAACAAACCTGCATCCATATCACTCTGCTTCTTGTCCATTGTCCTTTCTACTAAAAATATGATGTGTTGCTTCTTTGAAGCAACTTCTATTTCTTTTCTGGGAAAATCCTGGCTGGACAAGACTCTTAAAAATAAAAGGAAAACAGCAAAAAACATACATGTGCAATAGTTTGGGCAGGGTGACTTCAATTTTGATAGACAATAAACTTTCCTTTTCAGATGGCACATTACCTGCTAGAAGAAACCGAGTCTTTGGAGACCGACAAAGCTGCCTTCGCCCGTTCACAGAGGACGATGCTTTCGATCCTAATGATTCTGACATAGATCCAGGTAGAGTGGAAAGCTTCCATGTTTCTCTGTTGTACTTATAACTGACGACCAACTATGGACTGATGTTCATTTGTGCTGTGCTTGATTTGTGGATCGTTTGAGGTTATGGATGGGTCGTTGTAATTCAGGGGAGCATCACCTCCCAACATGCCCATGTTTGGAAGAATTGTGATGAATTTCATGCATGCACAACAAAATCCAGTGTACATAATACAAGGCTCAAGAACAAAAGATCTTCAAACTTGGCCCTTTTATGACTTGTGGACTTCAACTCCCACGCTGGCTGAGGAATTCTGGGAGTTGAAGTCCACAAGTCATAAAAGGGCCAGGTTTGAAGACCCCTGCTCAAGAAACATAGACGCTCCCCCAGAATGACACCAGAGTTAATTTTACTAGTAGCCCTTCCTTACTGACTGTAATTGGGGACAGAATTTCTGTCGCTAAACAAAGCTGAGGTGAAATGGGATGTAGCCATATTGCTTAGCAATGGCAGTTCCAGTGATTCCATTGCAGTCGTTAGGACAGGAGTTCGTGCTTCTACTGCCCTGCCATGCTTGTCTCAACTTCATCTCCCCATACTTGTCTACCTTCCTCCCATCGTTGCTCTTCTGGCTGTCCTGTATTCCGCCATTTACTATCCTCCTCCATCCTTCACTGTCTTGTTCCCACTGCTGATGAGGTGTACCTGGCCACTTACCTTGTCTAAGCTTGAAGAGGAACAGATATATTTGCTATTAAACCTACTTTGTGCAACCCACAAAGTGGAACTCAATAATGTGGCATGCATGTCTGTGTGTGAATCATCATTTGTCAAAATCAGCTAAAACCGATATGTCAGGAAATTGTTAGCTGATGGTGGAAAGGAGAATCAGGAGCAGTTTCCCCAAACTTTAGCACTGGAAGTTCATAACTTCAAGATTAGCATTAAAGAAATGCAGGTGCCAGGCTGCTGTTTCAGCCACTTGATTTCCTTTTGACAGCTGCTTTTCTAGCTCCAGCTTTTCTTTCACGAATTTCTCTGTTGCTTCAAGTCATTTGTGAATGGCAGAAAGTTCCCTCCCTTCCATCTAAAACATAGCATATAAGCGTTGCTTGAGCAGGGCCCGCAAGATTGTCTGGGACACTACACATCCTCTTCACTGTTTTCCTTGTTACCTTCTGGGAGGAGGCTCCATGGTATCCGAAGCAGAACATCCAGATTCAGTCACAGCTTTGTTCCATACAGTGTTAACCTTGTGAACTCTAAAGCTTCCTCCTTTTGTTATGTATTCAAGATGGACAGTGATTAGTTTTTATATGTTGCTTATATGTAAGGGTGTAGGTCTATACATACGTTGTATATAGTATGTTTTAAATGAATATTACGTAAGTTACACTTGAGAGCAAGCAACTCAATTTCATTTTTAATGTGTGCCGTTGTGCCCACAGGGGAAAAAATATATCAATAAAGGTTATCTAAACTAATCTAATTTTTAGAAGCAGAAGAAAGGAATTTAAAGTTGCTTTGTTTGGTTAAGGTTAAAACATGATTTTTTT